TGCCTCTGAGCCACCCAGGCCACAGGCAAAGGGTGGCCTGTCCAGGGCTTTGGGGTTAATGAGGGGAGCTGGGGAGCAAGGGCCATGTGTCCACAGCTGGACAGGACGCACGCCTAGGGAGGCCACGAGCACTCCATGGCCTGGGGTTACCTGGTGTGACCCACGCGGAAAGGTCAGAGGGCAGTGGCCCGACAGCAGCCCCTGTTCCAACACCAGGGCAGTCCAGGGCTTCCCAAGTCCACTCTCACTCCTGAGATTTGCAAGGACGCACAGGACTCCCAGCCAGATGTCCCGGGCAAGGGTGCAGATCCCACGAATGGGGAAGAGCACACGAGGCAGCGTCGGGGAGAAGCTGCCGTCGACCTGCCCCGGGAAGCTGGGAACCACACGCTCGCAGGACGCATCGACAACCAGGGACTCTGACCCACGCTGGCAGGGCACAGCTCCGCACCGTATGTGGGGCCACGGCGACGTCGGGGTCTGAGGCAGGGCTGGGCCCTCCCAGGCCGTGGTCACCCTCTTACCTGGGGTCCAAGGCAGGGCTGGGCCTGTCACCCTCTCACCTGGGGTCCGAGGCAGGTTGGGCCCTCCCAGGCCATGATCAACCTCTCACCTGGAAGGCAGGGCAGCCAGCGCATCGGGGGAAGGAGCTTGTAAGCGGTGTCCAGCCCCACCCAGGAAGGGCACGTGGGTCCAGTCCTGCCCGAGTTCCTGGCCTGCCAGCTGGGAGGTGTGCGTAGGTCACTCTGCCTCCTGTGCCTCGGTTTCTCCATGGGTGGCTGGCGGCGGGCAGCGTCTCGGTGAGGATTCGGCGGGGCCTCCCGCCCATCCCCCCAGGCAGGACTTAATAGCAGGCACTGCCTGTGTGTGACCCCGAGGGCAGCTCCAGGGCTGCACGTCACTGCACGGGATGGTAAACTGAGGCTCGGGGCCAGTCACCCGGAGCCGGGGCCCAGGGCTTGCCCATGGGAATCGCCCGCCCTCACTGGGGGGAGGGGCAGGTGCCCTGGTCAGCCGCCGCGGCCGCCTGCTTATTGAAGTCATTTTTCTCCTCCTGTCCTGGAACTGGCCGTGGGCAGCGTCTCCCTCCACCCCCGGGAGCTGAGAAGAAAACAAAAGCTTAATTGCATCAGGCACTGGGGTGGTGGGTGCCGTGGAGACGAGCCGCCCCCGACCAGGGAGGCCGAGGGAGTCCCCGCCGGGCAGGTCTGAGGCCGCGGGTGATCACAGCCCTGGTGTGATTAAATCAATTATCGTCGCTATTCTGCGTCTGCTTCCGGCCAGCGAGCCTGTGGACTTCGCTCCACCACCCACAAGCCTCCAGGCCCCGTCACAGACACCGCCTGCGGCCCGGGGAGCCTGAGACCCAGACACGCCACGCAGCGCGCCCGGGCCACGCCCCACGTGGAGGATGGGGCTTGACACCCTCCCAGCTCCCCCCACACATCAGGGTTAGAGTCTGACGGCCCCAGAGATGAGATGCCAGAGGCAGGGGCCCTGGGAAGGGTGAGTGGGCTGCCATGTGGGGTGCGATGCCAGGGTAGGGGCCACAGGCAGCCACGGAAGGTTCCAGAACAGAGGCCACGGTGGACGCAGGGGCACAGCTTTGTTTGGGCAGACGGGCTGCTGCCGCGTCCAGATGGGATGGAGGCCCACGACCAGTGCCGGGTCCCAGGAGCCTTTCCCCACCCCGGGGCACCCCTGCTGCCCCCGTGCCCCTCCGCTCCCTCCCTCAGTTCAGATTCTGCTCCTTCCACAAAGCTCTCCTTGGCAGCGGCTCACGCCTGGGATCCCAGCACTTTGGGAGGCTCAGGTGGGTGAATCACCCAAGGTCAGGAGTTTAAGACCAGCCTGGCCGACACAGTGAAACCCCATCTCTACTAAAATACAAAAATCGGCCGGGCGTGGTGACAGGTGCCTGCCATCCCAGCTACTCAGGAGGCTGAGACAAAATTGCTTGAACCTGGAAAACGGTGGTTGCCGTGAGCCAAGATCGTGCCACTGCCCGCCTGCTCGGGCAGCTGACTGAGACTGTCTCAAAAAAAAAAAAAAAAAGTTCCCCTTGATTAATTCTGTGGCGGGAGGCTCACTCCCTCACTCCAAGGCCACCTTCCCCAGCTCTGGGATGCAGAAAGCCCAGGCCTCGGGGGCGTCCTTCTCTGCTGCTTCTCACACCTCAGACTCAGGCAGTGATGCTCCTCCTCCGACGGGAGACTCACTGGGTCACTGTCCTCTGTCAACTTGAAAAATGAATCAGCCGGGCGCAGTGGCTCACGCCTGTGATCCCAGCACTTTGGGAGGCTCAGGTGGGGGGATCCCTTGAGGCCAGGAGTTCAAGACCAGCCTGGCCAACGTGGTGAAACCCCATCTCTACTAAAATTCAAAAATTTGCCGGGCGTGGTGACAAGAGCCTGTAATCCCAGCTACTCGGGAGGCTGTGGCGGGAGAATCGGTTGAGCCTGGGAGGTGGAGGCTGCAGTGAACCAAGATTGCACCACTGTACTCCAGCCCGGGTGACGGAATGAGAGTCCATCTCCAAAAAACAAACAAAACAAACAACAAAAAAAATCAAGCCAGCTTCAGCAAAGAAGGGACTTTACTGGCGCACCCTCTGAGCAGAAATGGTGTGCAGTTACGGGCTTCAGGCGTAGCTGGATCCAGGCGTCCACAACGTCCCCAGGCATCTGACTCCTCGTCTCTCGGCTCTGTTGCTCCCTGTGATGGCTCCACTCTGAAGAAGGGGCATGTTTTTGTAATTTGCACAAAATGGGCTGCCCCCTGGCTGTGCCCGTGGCCTTCCTGAGGGTAGGGAGGCTCAGGATGGCCCAGGCTGGAAGGAGAGATTGCCGGCAGGCGCGCATGGCCCCCTCACCGCACAGCGCCCGCTGGGGCCCAGCGCTCCGCAGCGCCAGGGATGCTGCCGGCGCCAGCAGTAGACGCACTCCGCTCAGGGTCAGCGTCACGAGGCAGCGAACGGCAACACCAGGAGTGATCAAGAGCATCTGACGCCGCTGGGGTCGGCGCTGACCTGGGAGCAGTGGGCCAAGACCTGGGGCAGGGCCAGACGCCACGCAGCTGCAGCAGCCCGGGTGACGCCCACGTGGGGGAGGAGCAGGGAGGGCATGGGCAGCCGCAGCTCCCAGAAACCAGCACACACAGACACACACACGAGAGCACGCCGGCAGTGACGCAGCCACGCACAGTGCACAGTTACACGTGCACATGCCAGCACACATGCGGGGACACACAAGCACAGTTACACATGCACACGCAGCTTACGTGCTCACACGTGCACACGCATGTCAGCACACACGCAGGGACACAGCCACAGAAGCACAGTTACATGTGCACAAGCAGCTTACGTGCTCACGCATGCACACACCAGCACACACGCGGTGACACACAAGCACACCGCTACACATGCACACCCAGCTCACATGCACACGCCAGCACACACACAGTAAACACAGCCACACACAAGCACAATTACACATGCACACAGCTCATGTACACAGCTCATGTACACAGCATGTACACGTGTACACAGCACACACGACACAGCCACACTAGCAGTTACACATGCATACGCAGCTCACGTGCTCACACATGCACACACCACACACTCAGTGAACACAGACACAGTTATACATGCATACACAACTCACATGTGCACATGCCAGCACACACACGGTGAACACAGCCACATGCAAGCAGTTACATATGCATACACAGCTCACGTGATTACACGTGCACACATCAGCACACAACACAGCTACACACAGGCACACACAGTTACACACGCACACGCAGCTTACATGCTGACACACGCACATGCCAGCACACACGTGGGGACACAGCCACAGAAGCGGTTACACAGGCACACGCAGATCACGTGCTCACATGTGCACACGCTAGCACACAGTGAACACAGCCGCATGCAAACAGTTACACATGCACACGCAGCTCACGTGCTCACACATGCACATGCTAGCACACACATGGTGAACACAGCCACATGCAAGCACAGTCACATATGCATACACAGCTCGTGATTACAGGTGCACACAGCACAGATCACAGCTACACACAGGCACACACAGTTACACATGCATACACAGCTCACGTGCTCACACATGCACACGCTAGCACACGGACACAGGCACACACAAGCGCAGTTACACATATGCAGCTCATGTGCTCACGTGTACACGCTACACAGGCAGTGAACACAGCCACATAGTTACACATGCAGTGACACAGCCACACAGAAGCAGTTACACATGCATACACAGCTCACGTGTTTACATGCACATTCCAGCACACATGCAGTCACAGACAAGCACACACAGTTCTGCATACACTGCCCTCCCTTCACGTGCACATTCCAGCAAACATGCACACACAAGTATGCATACGCTCCCCATGTGCTTACACGTGCACACACCAGCACACACACGGGGACACAGCCACACACCAGCAGTTACACACACACAGAGCTCACGTGCTTAAATGTACACACATGACATGGCCACACACAAGCACAGTTACACATGCACACACAGCTCACGTGCTTACACATGCACATGCCAGCACACACGCGGTGACACAACCACACACCCCTCAGGGGTTGTCCTGAGGGGGCGTAGGGGGGGGTCCCGTCCTGAGGAGTGTGGGGGGGTCCCGTCCTCAGGGGTGTCGGGAAGGTCTTGTCCTCAAGGGTGTGTGGGGGGTCCCGTCCTGAGGGGTGTGTGGGGGGGTCCCGT